ACGAACTAATTTAGTGAACTAATTGTCTCCTGCAAACTCAACTCCCCTTTCGCTCCTCTTTTATTTCCTCTGGGAGGGGCCATTCATCATCCACCTGTGGCCTTACTCGCAAGTCGACCCCTGTTCTTTAGCTGTTCTCTTCATCTGGCAACTCTGCACATGTGCACACTGGGAACAGGCTCCAGCTGTTCATCTGCCTCACTGATGTCTGACTCCGAAAGCAGCTGATAACTGTCAGATGGCTCCATCTCTGCCTCTGATGCAGAGCCCTCATCAGAGCCTTCTCCAAACTCCAGGACCGGCCCATGTTCCTACCCAACCTCCTCACTGTCCAAATCTGCTGCCAGCTCTGCTGGCCACCGGCGGGCCACAACAGCTTTCAAGAAACCATCCCTTACCTTCTCCCTCTTGGGAGCAATAGCATCTAGCTCATCAATAAAGATAATAGCTGGAGCGTTCTTTTCAGCCTCTTCAAAGGCTTTGCGTAAGTTGCTTTCAGATTCCCCAGCCAGCTTGCTCATGATCTCTGGGCCTGAAGAAGAAAGACAGAATATGAACAAAAGGACTCCAGGACTCTTTTAATGAACATCAGGATTTGGAAAAGAGTACCCAGTGGGCTACCTGTTTTTAGGATTGCCACTTCTGGTGTTTCTCGTTTGGTCATTGTCCAAAGTTGTAAACTTCATTGCACTGGTTCCCATTATTTTGTTATGCCACTCTACAAATACGCTGATTCCGTTATAATTATCATATAGAAATATGGCAGCTAGGAGAATATGGATATCCTGGATAGTCAGATTTTTCCTATGACATTCGCATAGAAAAACCATTTTCTTACCATTGATAAGGAAAAAAAATGCTCCAGTTTCATTTGCAACTGCCCGGGCTACGAGTGTTTTTCCAGTTCCAGGGGGTCCATAAAGAAGAATCCCTCTTGGAGGCTGAGGAAGGAAGAGAGAAAGCAGAGGAATCACATCAAATGAACGTGCAATAAGTAATTGGCTCAAGTGCCAGTGAGGATATATTAAAAGCCCCTAGCATGCTCTTATTCTTTTGGCAATAAAAGTTTACACTACAAGGCCTAGCCTGCTTGGAAAGAAAGATGGAGAGAATGCAATCCATTGAAACTGAAACAATGTCCATCTCTGCCCATTGTTGAAGACTGAGCTGATTGAAGAGATATGGAACGGCTGAGGTAAAGAAGAACAGTTTTATTTAACAGGACCAGCTAACAGGTAACTGTATACAGAGTTCAGCACCTCGCCCTGCTTGACAGCTATTTATACAAGAGCTGTCAAGCAGGGCGACCAATAGGAACGGTGTAAACAGCCTGCGCTCAGCCAGCCGCGCCTTAGCCAATCAAGTGCGGCTCAGCGGGAGCTGGCTGTCATTCGTAAGTCGAGGACCTGCGGCCGGTCGTAAGATAGAATATTATGGCATATTGTAAAGCTAAGAAGGATGGCGAACAGTAATATGGAAATTATGGTGATCCTAGCCCTCCATTGTGGTACCTTCACTCCAATCGCTTTAAAGAGCGCTGGGTGTCTCAATGGCAGTTCCACCATCTCTTTGATCTGAGCCAACTGTTTACGGCAGCCCCCGATGTCATCATAGCCAACATCATTGAGGCTCTCCTCTTCATCCTAACAAAAGGATGAAACACAGAAAACACACCACAAGGTCATCACAAAGAATCACAATCAATCACATCCCCGTCAGGATGACAGTATAATACAGCCAGAATTGAATTGGAGACTCATATCTTAAGTCTGTATGCTCCTCTCAGGGATGGGTTCCAGTCGGCTTTACTGCCGCTTCACACATGCATGTTGGATGTGTGCTCTGCGTGCGCTGGATGTGCACATATGCACAATTCATTTAAAATTGTTCTGCGCAAGTACAGAACTCAAAAACAAGATGGCGGCAGCAACGGCAGCGACCGGAAAACCAGTTCGGGGGCATGGAAGTCTTGGGTCGCTGCCAGTTCCAGTGACCTAAGTCACCACACCACTATCAGTTTGGCTGAACCAGGCCGAAATGGTAGGAACCCACTACTGGTTCCTCTGCAGTAACATTTGGAATAACCCCAGAACTTCCTCTTAAAATCTTATCCCTGTTGTCAGCCCTTCAATATAGTCCAGACAAGAAGCACAAACCATAAATACTAATACTACCTTTTTTGTTACAGGAACTATGTATTTTAACTGTATACCCACCCACCCCCAAGTCACTTCGAAAATGAAATGAATGGTCTCTAAATTTGATAAATAAACAAAACAAAATCTTGCAAGTTGTGGCTTTCCCTCCGGTCTCCCAAGGTCATTCTCACAGACCATTACACTTCTGCACTATTCCCATTGGAAACTGTTGAAGAGCCTCTAATAACTACCATCAATGACTACCATTCTGGCTACTGGGTTCCCATGCTTGAGATGTATCTTATTAGCTCTCCCACATACCTCTCGTTTGATGGGCTCCCCCTCACAATGGATAATTGTGTCAGGAGCAACAATGCAGTGGGGACTGGGATCTACTTCCACCACCTTAAATTCCACAGCCCGCATTCCACCACGTACAAGGAAGATATCACCTAGACAGAACAGAGGAATTTCAATTGTTAGTTCAATTCATTATCTTCCTCAGAACTGAACCACAAATTCAGAGATGTCCCATGGTAAGGATTAGGATATGGTAATATGAGTGAAATAAAATGATTTTTTTTTAACCTAGTGATAGCACTGTAAAACCTAATTCATGTCCCCAGTTCCTATTGGTTATA